TATATATAAAATAATATATATATATAATAATATATATAATATGTAACATATATAATATATATGATATATAATATATACATAAATAATATAAATATATAAATAACATATATAATATATATAAAATAATATATATATAATACATATAAATAATATATATTTTAAAATAATATATATAATATATAAATAATATATAATATATATTTTTATATAAATAATATATATATTTAAAAATAATATATAATATAAATAAATAATAAATATATATATATATATATATATATATAGAGAGAGAGAGAGAGAGAGAGAGAGAGAGAGAGAGAGAGAAGAAGAAGAAGGAGAGGGAGAGAGAGTTAGAAACATCAATGATGAGAGAGATTCATTGATCGGCTGCCTCCTGCCCTCTCCACCCAGAGGACAGAGCCTGCAACCCAGGTATATGACCTTAAATGGAATCAAACCTAGGGACCCTTCAGTCTACAGGCCAATGCTCTATCCAATGAGTGAAATCAGCTAAGGCCATGGGCCTGTCTTTTGATGCCAACCTTTTGTTTCAATATAGGTTCAGTACATTCTCTCTTGAATAGATTAATGTATAATGCATTAGATATTATTTGCACTTTCAATTTATTTAAGATATTATTTGCACTTTCAATTTTTTAAGTGAAGCAGTCTGAGTGCAGAATCCTTTGATTTTTTTGTTTCCCATTAATCTTTACTATTTTTGCAGTCATGCCTACTTTGATAGCAATGTAACTTTCATTTATAGCCTGGGCTTTCAAAATAATCAACTTGGTTTTCATGGAAAACTGCTTGTAGGGATAAAAACTGGCATAAACAAATATGGGAACAAACGTGGCTGGTTTTTTTTGTTAAGTTTACAGCTCAACTGTTTATTCTATAGACTAGTCTCCTATATAAGAATTGTCAACATGCCAAGATCTTGATCTGGCATGTCACTTAAGTTGAGGAGGACATATATGAGAATCTCAGGTACATATAATGTACTCTGGGAATGTTTTGTATGTTTTTCATCAAAACGTGCATTTTTTTAAAGTGTAAGTTTTATAACTTGTTCTATTTTTTTTAAGTGCTCAATTATTTATTGAACAGGCATCTTGGAACAGAACCCTGGTGCAGTGGGTTATTTTCCCACGAGCTGAGCTGATTATAAATGATAAATAAATCTTGGTATTTAGAAGGCAGGGTTCACAAGAACTAACACCAATAAAAGTTTCTTCTGCTGCTGATCTAAAGAACAAGAATACAGTCTTTCTCCGTTTTTGTTGTTTGTTTCTGTGTTTTTTTTTTTTCTTTCATTTTTTAATTAAGGTATATATGTGTACTACTTTTTTTAAATGAGTGAATATGGACATTTTGTTCTATTCATTTTATACATTGTTCACTTCCTTTATTCCATTACCTTTTCTTTCTTTTTTATTAAAAAACTAGAGGCTCTGTGTACAAATTCATGCACTGGTGGGGTCCCTCTGTTTGGCAGGCCAATGCGGGGGGTGAGGAGTGGCCTGCCAGGGGGTGGGCTGTGGGAGGTTGGTCCCAGCAGCCAGCTAACTAATGGACAAATAAGGTTTCCTCCTCCTCTTTTCTCCTGTCTGATTCCAGGGTGTGGGTGAACCAGATTCGGGGCTGTCAGGGCCCCAGCAGTAAGGTCTGGGGCAGTGCATGTCATAGCTACCAGCCAGTCATAAATGTTGCTTAGGCTTTTATATATATAGATAAAAATTCATTGATTGATTTTAAAGAGAGAAAGGAGAGAGAGAGAAAAACATCAATTTGCTATTTCACTTACTTATACATTTAGTGGTTGATTCTTTTATATACCCTGACTGGGGATAAATTCTGCAACCTTGGTGTAGTGGAGCAATGCTCTGACCAGTTGAGATACCTGACCAGGGCCTCATTTTTTTTTCTCTATTTTTTAATGTTTCTTATGTCAACTTGTATGGGCTTTTATACTGTGAACACCTTCCCATTTTTAATTTTAATTTGATTTTGACACTTTCCTTTTAGATTAGTTTCAAAGTAAATTCTTTGAAATTACCACCTGATTTTAAGAACATTTTTTATATCTTTATAGCTGATTACTTATTTACTACTGTTGTGACTATTTAGTTAATAACTGTTCATTTTTATATATGATTTGTATCATATTTATCACCTTGAATTGACTTTTCCCCCAAAATTTTGACAAAATTGCCATAATTTTGTATTGCTTCCTTAACTGGGGAGATGAAGATAGACCAGATGGTAGGGGAGGAGGAAGGAAGGAAGACATCTACAGATGTCCTAGCAGTATTTTCTGTGCCATTCATTAACCTGTCTGCTCACATTTTAGCCACATGATTTAAATCATTTTTACCTTTTGATATATTTCTAGTATATCCTTTTAAAGTAAACTTATGGAAATGGAAATGCATAAAAAAATACAGAAATCCTAAGGATTTAGGATTTTTCCTAAATCACTGAATTTTTACAAAGTGATCACATTCATACAGAAAATCATTATTTTCCTCCTAACTTCTAGTCATTCCTTCCCACCAAAGTTAACCACTATCCTGACTTATAACAATTCCATAAATTAGTTTTACTATTTTCTGGTTTTATGAAAATGCAGCCATACAGTATATATTCTTTTATGTCTGGTTTTGTTTAATCACTATTATGTTTGTGATATTGAATTATGTTGTGTGCACTTGTAGATTATTCATTTTCATTGCTGGACAGTATTGTGTTGTATCAATATGTCATAATTTACTTAGAAATTCTTCTGTTGATGAACACTTCTTTCCAGTTTGAGCAAATTAAAAATAATGTTGCTGTATTATGCGTTTTTAAAAATACCTTTTTTTAAAAAAATAGTATTGAACTCTTTATTGAAAAAATTTTGAGAAAATTTGTAACAATTGTACCTAGTTATAGAAATTCAAATGGAGATAAGTAGAACCTCTCATTATCTTGGTTGTGAAAGCAGGAGAAAGTTTATTTATGACTATACAAAATAGAAAATGATCTGCAGTGGAGATATCTGAAAATGAACGTAGAGAGGTAGTTGGAAGGATAATCACATATAAAGACATCACCATTTTCCATTTATATATTTGACTAGAGGCCCGGTGAACAAAGAAAATTCATACAAGTGGGGGAGTTGGGGGAAAAGGGTTCCTCAGTCCAGCCTACACCCTCTCCAATCTGAGACCCCTCCAGGGATGTCTGAATGCCCATTTAAACATCTCTCTTATAATCCAGGACTGCTGGATCCCAAATGCTTGCCTGCCTGCCTTCCTGTTTGCCCCTAACCGCTTCTGCCTGCCAGCCTGATCACTCCCTAACCACTCCCCTGCCAGCCTGATTGATGCCTACCTGCTCCCCTGTCATCCTGATCACCCCTAGCTGCCCTACCCTGCAGGCCTGTGTTCCTCCTTACTACCCTTCCCCACATGCCTTGTTGCCCCCAACTTCCCTCCTCTGCCAGCTTGGTCACCCCTAACTCTCCTCCCCTGCAGGATTGATTGACCCCAAATGCACTCCCTTTCAGGCCTGGTCCCTCCCAACTGCCATCCCCTGCTGGCCATCTTGTGTCCACATGGAGGCAGGATCTTTGGCCACATGGGGGCAGCCATCTTGTGTGTTGAGTGATAGTCAATTTTCATATTACTCTTTTATTAGATAGATAGAGGCTTGGTGCACAGGTGTGGGCTAGCTAGTTTGCCCTGAAGGATGCCGTGGATCAGGGTGAGGGTTTCCTTAGGGTGTGGGGCGGCCTGGGTGAGGGGCCTGTGATGATTTATAGGCCTGCCACACCCCTTGGTGACCCAAGCAGAGGCCCTAGTATTTGGAGTTTATTTATCTTCTACAATTGAAATTTTGTAGCCTGGAGTGGAGCCAAATCTTTCACTTGCTCCATGGTGGCCGCCATTTCTGTTGGGATTTATGTGTCTTCTATAATTAAAACTTTGTAGCCTTAAACAGAGGCCTGGGCTGGGCAGGGTGTGTGGAAAGCTTGGCTTCCTCCATTGCCGGGGAAATCCAAGCCTTCTTCCTGCTCTCTCTGTGGCCATAGCCATCTTCATTGGATTTATTTGCATATTTGCTCCTGATCTGCTGGTGAGCGTGGCTTATGGGTGTAGCAGAGTGATGGTTAATTTGTATATTACTCTTTTATTAGATAGGATTGAGATAGCTTACATGTGCTTTTGTTTCCCATTGCTATAGGAAATGATGAAAAAGAATATTTAATCATTGTAGTAAACTACAAAATCAAAGGAAAGGCAATATATGCAGTACTTTTAGCTAATTATGGGAACTAAATAGACATTTACTATGTCCTATGGATTTGTTAGTCAATGATAATTGAGAGATTAATTTTGTCTTTGGAAAGGTTTAAAGTAAAAAAAAATAAAGAGAATAAAAACTAGGAAAATTCATGAATATATAACAACAAAATTGAAAAAGTGTTAAGCATGAAACAAATTACTGAGATAGAAATGTTATAAATTAGTCAACAGGGATAGTTTTTCTTATTTAACATAAAGAAATCCAAACATGTGGAGAAACTAAATCAGTATTTGGAGAAATTTTGATGGCCAGTAAAAAACTCTAGGAAATGGAAAGATTATCACATAGGACTTTGGGAGCAAAGGGGACAGTCAGTGTTTTGAAATATCTTATGGTAAACAGGCCATGTTATTCATGGTAAGATGTTTATACTTTATTCTAATTGAAAAAGTAATAATTGAAAATTTCAAGTAGAGATTCTTAAACTTTGATCTGCATCCAAATAATCTGAACTTACCAGTATTTTTAATTCCCCCTAACTTTCTTCAAATTACATGTTTATTTTAGAGTTTTCTAGCCCATTTACTTCAATGGCTTTATTTTCTTTCTTTTTTCTTTTTTCTATTTTAAAGTTTTTTGTTTGCTTATTTATTTGTGTGGGATTTTTTGTTTTGTTTTTTAAGAATAAGAAAATAGCATCCATTTATCTTCTTTTGTTTTTGCAGATTTGGAATCCAAAAAGTTATCGCAAAAGGACATTTATGAAATGAATTTATCTCAATGGGAGATAATGGAAAACACTAGAAGTTGTAGCCTAGAAGACTGCTTTTTCAGAAAAAAAAATGTTAATATAAAAAGTTTGAGAAACAAAAAGGTCCTCAAAGGGGATATTTTAGGCAAAAGAGAAAAAATACCTCTGAAAAAAGTCACTTACAGAAAACTCAAATCTTTTCATTTGTATAAGAGAATTCCTAATAGAGAGAAACCCTATGAATGCAGGGAGTGTGAAAAGGCTTTTAGAGTACACCAACAACTTACTTTCCATGAGAGAATTCATACTGGTGAGAAATCCTATGAATGTAAAGATTGTGGTAAAGCCTTTAGATAGTGTGCCCACCTTAGTCGACATCAGAGAATGCATACTCCTGACAAACTTCTTGAATGTAAAAAATGTGCAAAGATTTTTACATGTAGTGCAGATCTTCGAGTACATCAGAGAATTCATATTGGTGAGAAGCCCTATGAATGTAAAGAATGTGGGAAGTCCTTTAGAGTGCGAGGTCAACTTAATCTTCATCAAAGAATTCATAGTGGTGAAAAGCCCTATGAATGTAAGGAATGTGGGAAGAACTTTAGACAATATGCACACCTTACTCGCCATCAAAGACTTAGTATTTCTGAGAAGTGCTATGAATGTAAAGAATGTGGCCAGGCTTTTTTTGTGTAGTACAGGCTTTAGAATACATCACAAACTTCATACTGGTGAAAAACCCTATGAATGTAAGGATTGCGGGAAAGCCTTCAGAGTGAGGCAACAACTTACTCGCCATCAGAGAATTCATTCTGGTGAGAAACCCTATGATTGTAAGGTCTGTGGGCTATCATCTAACTCTCCATCAGAGAATTCATACTGGTGAGAAACCTTATGAATGTAAAGAATGTCAGAAGTTCTTTCGTCATTATTCAGAACTTATATCACATTAGGGTGTTCATGTTGGAGGAAGCCCTATGATTGTAAGGAATGTGGGAAAGCATTTAGACTATTTTCTCAACTTACTCAACATCAGACTATTCATTTTGGTGAGAAACTTATAAATGTAAGGCATGTGAGAAGACATTTAGACTGCTCTCACAACTTACTCAACACCAGAGTATTCATGCCGGTGATAAACCCTATGAATGTAAGGAATGTTGAAAGGTCTTTAGACTTCATTCATCACTTATTCAATATCAGAGAATTCATTCTGGAGAGAAACCATACAATTGTAAGGAATGTAAGAAGACATTTAGACAACACTCACACCTTACTTACCATCAGCGAATTCATAATGTAACTAAATAGTTGTGAGAAAGCTTTCCATTGTGAATTTTCTGTTAAGGAGCATTGATTTTAAAGAATATGTTTATGAACATGAAGAAGACATTCATCACCATTTAAATCAAGTTAAACTTAAGGAAATTGATTCTAGAATGAAATACTCTTAAAGGAATGAATGTGGAAAAGAAATTGATAATGTAATTTTTTTTAGTAGAGTATTTTGCAACACATGAAGTTAATGGGACTAGGCAGGATTCTTAGTAGAGGTTAAAAACATTAGATGAAAGATTTGTAGGAACCTGATTGTTAGAAGGTCAGCTTGACAACATGTGAACCCACTGATCAATTTTAACCTCATCAAAAACAAGACAAATTCAAGGAATAGAAAACATTTTAAAAGCAATTAAATATAAAGATTTTTTTATACAAGAGAGATTTACCTGGCCTCTCGACCAATGAAATGGCACTGAAAAGGTGGAAGTGAAACTCATAGATATTAAATCTTAAGAGGTGTATAAATTGAATGTAAATAACTTTAAGAAATTATGTTTTTATTAAGTGATTATAACATGTTTATGTAAAAATGTCTGAAGTGGATATAGGCAAGATGATATGATGTCTGTAATTTTCTTTAAAATACTCATGAGAAAGAAGATGGATAACACTGCTATGAAAAACATGTGAAGTTTGTTAGAGTATTGTCCCAGTATGCCAAGGTTGCGGATTTGTTCCCCAGTCAGGACACATACAAGAAGCAACCAATGAATGTATAAATAAGTGGAACAACAGTGTTTCTCTCCCTCCCTCCAACTCCCTTCTCTCTGAAATCTATGAATAAAAAAATTATAAAAGATGGTAAAATATTGGATAAAGGGCTATTGTATATACTTTTTGCTATTTTCTCTACTTCTATGTCTAAAATTTTCTATAATGTTCCTTTAAAGGTAAAATTATGCAATGTTATAATCAGTGTAATGTAATTTTTAAAAATAAATCTTTATTGTTCATATTATTACAGGAGTTTCTCCCCCCCCACACATAGTTCCCCTCCACCTGATTCCCCACCCCACCCCATCCCAGGCCCTTATCCCCCACCACTGTCTTCATCCAGTGTAATATTTTTGTCCAATCTCTTCCGCACCCCTCAAATTTCCTTCCCCCTGAGAATTGTCAGTCCACTCCCTTTCTATGTCCCTGATTCTATTATATTCATCAGTCCATTCTGTTCATCAGATTTTTTATTCACTTGATTTTTATATTCATTTGTTGGTAGGTACATATTTGTTGTCATTTTGTTCATAATTTTTATCTTTACCTTTTCCTTCTTCTTTCTCTTCTTAAAAAATACCCTTCAGCATTTCATATAATCCTGGTTTGGTGGTGATGAACTCCTTTAGCTTTTTCTTGTCTGTGAAGCTCTTTATCTGACCTTCAATTCCGAATGATAGCTTTGCTGGGTGATCTTGGTTGTAGGTTCTTGCTGTTCATCACTTTGAATATTTCTTGCCACTCCCTTCTGAGTGGCATAATTTCTGGCCTGCATAGTTTCTGTTGAGAAATCAGCTGATAATTATATGGGGACTCCCTTAGAGGTAACTGTTTTTCTCTTGCTGCTTTCAAGATTCTCTCTTTGTCTTTTGCTCTTGGCATTTTAATTATGATGTGTCTTGGTGTGGTCCTCTTTGGATTCTTCTTGTTTGGGGTTCTCTGTTCTTTCTGGACTTGTAAGTCTATTTCTTTCACCAGGTAGGGAAAGTTTTCTCTCATTATTTCTTCTAATAGGTTTTTAATATTTTGCTCTTTCTATTCTTCTGGCACCCCAATAATGAAAAATGGCCTGTGATTGCAGCTGAGTTGTTTTTTCAGACTCTTTTTTAGTCAACGTTGTTTTCTCATTTTTGTATTGTTTCTATCTTGTTCAAATTTGTAGTGCTTTAAGTAGTTCTTAAAAACTATTTTTTCTGAATTTTGTTAGTGTTTATTCAGTGAGACAAAAGATGAATAGGATCCTCTCTGTATTGAGTTCAGTATGACACTGAGTTCAGTATGACACTGCTATGAAAAACATGTGAAATTATTAGAAGTCCAGCTGTTTCACAGAAAGGATAAAAGTTGGCTTCATGTTTACCCTGAGACGACATTTTCATAACATAAACATGTAGTTGATTTTTACCCCTAAGGGTCTTTACAAATTTGAGAACATTTTGTTACCTGAAAACACAGTAATGGAACCCTCTATATTTCCCTGAAATTGTCCTTGAAATATATATCAATTGCTATAATAAATATATGATTTCTTTAAAAATCTTAATATTATGAATTATTTTCAAATATTGATCAAGTCTTACATCACCAGACTAAAGTTCATTTGTTTATAGTATATGCAGTTGCCCCTTGGACATAGGGATTCAGGGAGCCAAAGCCCTGTTAGTTGAAAATTTGTGCGTAAAATGTGACTATTCCAAAACTTAATTACCATTAGCCTACTATTGACTGGAAGCCATACTAAAAACAAACATATCATATATGTTATATGTGATAAATACTGTATTCTAAACTAAGCTAGAGGAATAAAATGTTAAGACTATTATAAAGAAAATGAAGTACAATATTGTATTTAGTGATGCCATAAATTTATATCATCTGTAAGATAAATTATCAGTACATACACTAGGGGTGTCGAATTCAATCAGAGAAGGGGCCAAAATCTAAAATCCAGCCTAAATCGCGGGCCGAATGGTTTACTGAACAGTCATAAACTGTCATTGTGATGGAAACGCAGCGGAGTGCAGTGATGACAGCGTGGTGCGGGCCACATTGCAAGGCCTGGCGGGACGGATTTGGCCCGCGGGCCTTGTGTTTGACACGTGACATACACTAATGTTGTCTTTTATGAAACAAAGCAATGTAGATGTTATACATATTACTAACTACACATAAAAAATAAAGATGTGAAAAATTCATTTATACATATAACAATGCAATAACAAAGAAGCAACAATATGATTCTCATGGCAGCCTGGCCTATACAGGAATAAATAAAAATTTTTGTGGCATACAGCATTAACATGTTAAGTGCCCAGGTGACTGACACTATACTCTCTGTCTGGAAGACAAAACAGACTAGGTGCTTAACGCATTAAGAGTCATATTTATAATACAGTATTGGAAATATTACATTATTTTAAAGACTACTCATCTGTGGTGATAGGCTGATAGTTTCTCCACTTATAATAAGAAACTTTTCTTCAAAAAGTTATAAAACTGAGAGAGGATCCAAGATGGTTGCTCAGGTAGACACCTAACCGCAGCAGCACACAACAATTTCAATGGAATACAATTAAAATGTAGAGTGGACATTGCCCAGAGCTACAGGTAGTTGACTGACTGAAAATTCTACAACAAGAAGGAAAGAGAAAACCAGAAGGAAAATCAGAGGAGCTGAAAAAGCCTAAGGTATGGAGACATGCTGCATGCATGCACGCAAGCGCGGAGAGGACGCAGCCAGAGAGGAGGAGAAGGCTGGGTGCCTGCCTGGTGTTCCCTAGCAGGAAGGAAATAAAAGCCCCCGCCTAGGCTGAACCCCAGAACCGGCGGCGCTGAGCTCCAGTTATGGGCCAGACCCAGGGGACCCAGGCTCGGGCAGGGGGAGACGGGGCTGTGAGGCGGAATCCCAGGGGAGCGGCGAAAACCGGAGCCCCCGGAGTCACGCACATTGCACGTAAAGGACGGAATGTTGACTGGGATGCAGGATTGCCCTGGTGGGGAGAAACAAAACCTCTGGTGGTGCTGAGCCCCAGTCCCAACTACTCTGAACCCCAGTTCTAGGCCAATCCCTGGGGACCCAGGCTCAAGCAGAGAAAGACGGGGCTGTGAGGTGGAGTCCTGGGGGAGCAGCGAAAAGCGGAGCCCCCAGAGTCGCGCACATTGCGCGCAGAGGACAGTCTGTTGACTCTGATGCTAGACTCCCCTAGCAGGAAGGAGAAAAAAAGCTCCAGACTGGAGGAACGCGACGAGGAGCAGGAGCTCCTGCCGGACACTGGCCAGCCGGGTGCCAGCAAGGAGCCGGGCAACGGGGCCCCCATGTGGGGGGGGTGCCCCTGAGCCTTCGACCACTGAGCATGGACAATGGATCCAAGGCCGGGGGCTGCTTCCTGGGCGGCGCCGACCCCGGCAACAGGCTGAAGCAGTGCAGGAGCCCGTGGAGAACAAAGGGGTGCCACAGGCCAACCTGCTGAGCTTCCAGGACAAGGAAAAAGAAATCAAAGAAGTTCTCAATGTGAAGAAATCAAGTGATAGCAAAAGATAGTAAAATTACTTAAGAAAGAATACAAAGAAGATCTTGAAAAATCAAAGACTGAGTCAGAACTCAACTCAGCAGCCAACATTGCAACATAAATGCATGTGTTTTTTCTTAAAAAAAAAAAAGGACAGAATGTTGGAACGGCGGCTGCCAGGCCTAGAGTGGCCAGGCACAAGGCAGTGGCAGCCGGGCCTGGAACAGCAACAGCCAGGCCCAGAGCAGCAGCAGCCAGAACCAGAGCAGCAACAGCCAGGCCTGGAGAAGTCAGCCCTGGGGCAGTGGCAGCCAGGCCTGAGGCGGAGGCGGCCAAGCCCAGGGTGGCCAGTCCAGGAACACCCAGGCCCGGAGTGGCCGGGCCAGGAGAAGCTGGGCCCAGAGCAGCCTGGTAGGGAACAGCCAGGCCCAGAACAGCAGTAGCCAAGGCCGGAGCATCCAGGCCGGGAGCTGCCAGGCTCGAAGCGGCCAGGCTCAGGGAAGCTGGGCCCAGAGAAGCTGGGTTGGGTGTGGCCAGGCCCGGAGCAGCAGCAGCCAAGCCTGGAGCACCCAGGTCGGGAGCGGCAGTGGCCAGACACGGAGCAGCTGGTTGTGGAACGGACCAGAGCAATAGAGGCCAGGCCCGGAGCAGCCAGGCCCGGAACAGCTCTCTTCTCGCCTGCCCCCACCCCAAGGCTGCCTCTCAGACATGGCTGGAAACTTTTGGGGGAACTTGAGGGTCTGCTGAATCAAGTGAGGAAGGCTAAGATCTGGATGTGTTGAGTTAGTATA